AAGAAGATGATAACTCCGTCCTTGATCATGCAGCATGGCTCCTGTGGTATTTGTTGAAACCCTATCGAAGCAAGAGTTGCGGTGAATTCTTTCTGCCACAGTGATGGTGAGATCCGGAGCCCGTAGAGTGCCTTTTGCACTTTGAGTAGAGTGCCAGGCTTCTGATATCCTTTTGGCATCCTCATGTATATTTCTCTGTCGATTGCAGCATGCACAAAAGCATTAGTGACGTCGTATTGCTTCAGCTCAAGATCGTATTTGGCGGCGATTGCCATGAGCATTCTGAATGAGCGTCCTGCCAATGTTGCTGCATATGTGTCTTGGGAGGTTATGTTGCGTTGTTGATCTCCCCTTACCACCAATCTTGCCTTGCATTTGATGAGGCGGTGATGCTTGTCGAGTTTGTAGGTGTATACCCACATACAGTCTAGAATCTGGTGCCCTGCTCGTTTGACTGGTGATGCTTGGACCTCAGTCCATGACTTCATTTGTTGGTGACTCTGAAGGTGTGTCTTTTCTGCTTCCTTGAACATTTCATATAGTGGATGGTCTTCTAGCTTTGAGTATGCTGTTGGGAGTGGCGGTAGCTGGTTGCGATGGGGCTTGATTCCCTTGGATAGCAGTCTCTTCACCTGAGCCTTATCGATTGGCTTTCCTTCGTGTTGACCAATGTGTCCTGATTCGGTGCCGGCCATGAATGCGGCTGCCCATGGACTGGTCATTGATGTTGATTGGTTGGACATGTTCGTCATATCCTCGTTGTTCACCTCTCCTTGAACTAGCAAGGCCACAGGTGGAGGAGTTGGTGGCGGGGTTAGATATGCCTCTACCACCTTCCTTCCTTGGTGGTATCTGGTTTTCTGAGTGCGCGGGCTCTCTTCCTGCGTCGTATCGTCCTCGTAGAACGTCTCGGTTTCTGGTTGTTGGCTCTGAGTACCTGGGAGTTCGACTGTTCTCACCCAAGTTGCGATTTCCTCTAGGGTGTTGTGCATGAGATTGTCCATCAGGTCCTCAGTCTTGCCGTTGAAGATTGTGTCTTCGTCAAACACTACGTCGCGAGTGCTGATTACCTTTGCCATGGATGGGATCCATATGCGGTAAATGTTCGTTGACTGGTATCCCACTAGGTATCCAATCCAGGCCTTCGGATCTAGTCTCTGTAGCCTGGACTTTCCTCTGTGGGTGTCGTCTGTCATTGCGAAAGCCTTACACCCATATGCTTTTAGGTGAGCTTGATTTGGTTTTCGAGGTCCGGTGACTATGCCGTTGATGGCAGCTGCGCGTGTAAAGAATATTTCGTATGGTGTCTTCCAATTGTTTGGGTAATTTGGCGTTCGATTGTATAGGTATACCGCCGCTCTGGTAGTTTCTGGCCAGAGTTCCCATGGAAGGTTTGCATCCAGTCGAATTGCGCGTGCCTTTTCTTTTATAACACCCCCTGAGCGCTCGGCTCCTCCGTTTTGAGCTTGAGTATCTGGAGCGGAGGGCTCGAGTTTGATTGATAGGGACGTGCACCATTTTTCGACCTCTTGTTTGACGGTAACGATCTCGTTGTCAGTCTCGATTACTTTGACTGTGATGTTGAATTGTTTCTTCATGAACTGGACGAAGAGGCCTAGGAGGCGAATGATTGAGCGAGCCGGTCTGTTGTCCTTGAAGTAGAAGTCCCATGTGTATCGGGACCGTCGGCAAGTGACCAGCATTTGGCTCTTCTCCTTGGTGAAACTGCCGTCCTCATACTCATGGAAGTCGATGGCTACCCTTTCACCTGGCCCTTCGTCGTTCAGTCTGGGCGTCCTGCGTATTTGTCGTTTCGATTTTGACCTGCCGCAGGCGTCACACTCCACGGTAGTGATGCCCTTGATCCTCACCCCCTCAGATTGCTGCACGAGGTGCTCGATCGCGGACGGCCCGGGATGTCCGAGTCGTTTGTGCCATAATATGGCAGTAGCCTTTTGTGGTGATCGTTTGGCTCGATTCATACGCACATGAAAGGCTGAAGTTGATGTAGTAGGTGGCTCGATAACCCATTGCCCATAGTGTTCCGATAAGGTGGCAATGGTTGAACCATCCCATCGTCGTAGGCTTGTCGGGTCTTCTCGATTGTCCCACCATATACCTTGTCTTCGGAGCAGCCTGAATGATACGAGGCTGCAGAGGAAGTCTGGGCACCAGGCAACATTGCTCAGGTGTAGAATTTGTTTGCCCTGAGCCCTCTCTGCCGTCACCTTGACTGCTCCGTATCCTTGTATCCAAACCCTTGAGTTGCCAGCCCAAATGTAATCTCCCATCGCAGGCGGGCGTACCTCTTCGAGCCTTGAGAGGTTGTTGCAGATGTGCGTCGTCGAGCCAGAATCCAGGATGAATGCATCCTTTAATGGGTATCCTTGATTGCTCGCATTGAATGCCGCTTTCATCATGCCCTCGTCCAGCCTCGAGATCTCGCGTCCATCTAGTCAATCAGTGACTGAGTCCGGTGTTTGTGATGTCTTGATGTAGGGTGTAATCGATCGTGATGCCGTAGTTAGGCGTGGTCGCTTCGTTTCCAGGTTTGTTTCCTGTATTATTCTTTGTAAGTCTGCATCATGCTGAAGTTTGTACTGTACCAGCTTTGTGATGTGTTTGTTCGGTTTGAACCAATCTGGGGTCTCCAAAGTTGGGTTGACATAGTAGCAGCTACTGATGTCATGGCGTTGTTCACAAGCAGGACATATATCGCCAGCTTCTGCTGTATTCCTTTTCTGGAATTGCTTGGACTTGTTGCCAGGTGCATTCATTTTGCGTTTGTTTGTTTGCCTTTGGTTTCCCTGGCTAGGGTTGGTAGATGGCGCTCTAATTTGCACACTTGAGGCGTCCCCCTGTGTGTTCGAGTCGGATTCACCGCTCGCCGCGTAGGCTGCTTCACCCGTCATAAAGGCACTTCTTGATTTGCCTCGTGTTGGGTGAGCTAGGCTCATGTGTTCGCGGAAGAGTTTCATCATCTGCCTTCTTTCTATATTGTTCCGGTCGCTTCCCGCTCCAGTGAATGTTGCCATCCATGCTGGGGCAATCTTAGAGACTGCTTTTAGGAAGTCGTCCACAACCAGCTTGCTTTGTATCACGTCCCCTATCTTTAGGGCTTCGGCGCGAGTTGCAGCTTGGTCGTATTCGCTGAGCCATGATTCCCAATTTTGCGGGCTTCTCATAGGTCTCAAGGAATCGTGGTACCTCTCTCGTACCCTTCTGATCTCATCGTCGAGGTCTACTCCAACTGCTACCTGGAGGTTTGTGATCCAGGTGCGGAGAGTTCCATGTTCCTCAAAGCAGCTCACTTGAAGGTGTGGGCTAACTGTTGCATTCAGGTGTCTGACCATTGCCGCAATGTTTGTGCGTTCGTCTCGATAGTTTCGTTCGCGTATTTTGTATGATTCAAAAACCATCTTGAATTCCCTTGAGTCCCCATCGTATGCCTCCTTCCCCTCCGCTGAGAGTTCTGAGTATCGAGCTGGTATGGCTGGAGTTTGAACAGCAGGGTTGACTATGTCAACTGTATCTTGTGTAGGCGCTCGGGCATTGGCTCTCGCGGTTCGTGTAGAGGAGGATGGAGCTGATGATGTATTTCTCAGAGCAGCGGCTGGTTCATAGTCGGATACGAGTGGAGGGAGAGGTTCGGTCGGCTTTGTACGAGGCTGAGTGTTGCCCGCTGGATCTACAATGTCCCAGATCTCTAGGGCTTCGCATTGCATCTTGATTTGGCGGTACCAGGGGATCCATTTGCTCGAGTCGGTGAGGATGACTGTTGCGTCCCTCTGGCTCTGGTTTGTCGCCATTATTGCGTGTTCGTTGCTCGTTATAGAGGCAGTGAGACTCTTAATTGTCAGATTAGATGAGATATTGCACAAAAGTGATGGATGTTCATGATTGATTGTATTGTTCTCTGTTCTAAGGTGCGCGCTGAGAGTTTTGTTCTGCTAAGACGCTAACCCATTATTAGCTAGCGGTGTCGGCACTTTCGGCTCGACACGCCTGCTATCTGACACTTAGATAGCTGCTCTTGCCCTATCTTGCACCTAAACTAGCTTACTAAACACTCTCTTTGACTTGTTCTGTACACTAATTAAGAAGCCCTTTTCATCCATATTAAAGGTAAGACGCCTCTCTATCTTATGCTCCTCCATTTTCTAATGCAGTATATCAAAATATGAGTCGTATTTATTAATAGAATCAGCCTGGTGACGTACGCGGTCGAGGGTCGGCGCCCAGCGAGAGATGAGACGGTCCTGGTTTCGATGGAGGAAGCGCTCAACCCAGCTTATTGAGACTAGGTTACCACAGATTTCTGAGCTAAAGTTCTAGATCATCTCTCTCGTAGGAGGTAGTCCTCGTATATAGAGCTCCTCTATATACTGTACAAGCTCTAGCTCTTGTTGTGGTAGCAGAGCTTGCTTCATCCTATCACTGGTGGTTTTGTCGCGTAAGACGCCGCGCCATCTTCGGGACAGCGCACTGCGACTACAACCAAACTAGTCGGCAACTTTCTGGTATACAAAGTGTTCTCCTGGCTTTAGCGACTCCAAATATTTAACCGCTTTATCAATAGCGGTCATATTGGTGGAGTTGCGACGTGTTGAAGTTTGTGGGTGGTCTAGTGTTCTGGCGTTCGGCGTGCGCGGCCCGAAAACGTGCGCAGCCCGGGTGGGGACTCTAGTTGCGATCTCTAGTTTCTCACCTTGTTTCTTTTAGCGTAGTGCGATCACGCCGTCTGTTGTGAGACTAACGACGCACCCGTTAAAGTCGATAGGGTTGTTAGTAGTAAGAAATTGCTTTTCTTTAGCGCTGAAGCGCAGCTCCTTGCTCTCCTTATTAGTAAATACGTTATTAGACAGACTAAGCGTGTTATTAGTTTGCATACCAACAATACTAAAGCCTAACGCCGTTGGCTTAGTAATTAAGAGGCACAGGTTATAGGTTGATGTTTCTATCCTAAGTGTCGTGGTATAGTGTTTGAAGTAGGTTAACTACTAGTACGCTCCTGCCTCGGCGATGCCGTACAGCGGCTTTACGACCACTATAATAGTGCCTTTAGGGTAGGCATCGCGGAGTTGCGTAGGAAGATCCGCGATGATCGTGCGCTAGAGATGGTTATCGGCTTGCGTGTACGCCTGCGTGATATCTCGAAGCTATAGCGTTATGCCTATTTAAAGCAGTAAGGGTACAAGCGCAATAATAATGCGCTAACTAGCGCGCTAGATCGTTAGGCTTTGTGTAAGCACAATCTGTTTTCTATTATTGGTATAACCCTGAACGACAAGGCGCGATTTCTCGTACGGCTTAGTCGTAGTTTTGCCTTTAACCTCGTTAACAATCCGTGACTTAAAGACGCGGATGCCACTATAGCGCTAAGGGTTATACTCCTTAAAGCGGAACACTCCGCGAGTAATCAGCGCGTAAATCTCTGCCTTAGTAGATAGTTCGAATAGTTCGCCTAGGGTTGTGATCTTACTAGTGGCACGCAGCTTCCTAGACAGCACTAAGTTGTCCTCCTCGCGTTGCGTGAGGTTGACGTCGTTGGTCTCGATAGGAGCTAGTTTTGGCTTGTTTTTGGAGCCTTTAGGGCGACCACGCTTTCGTGGAGGTAGAACTTCTGTCTCTAGGATAAACTCGTCATCGTCCGCATCCCCGCAATTGTCGTTGTCGTCGTCGTCGCGCGGGATAACGGTGGAGTTGTTGCGGTGGTATAGCTGCACCAATATGACTCGAAATGTCGCCTGCCTGCCGTCGACGTCGACAATCGCGGCGGTTAGGTCGTCGTTCATGGCGATGAGGGTATAGGGACTAGTCCAACCGCGGTTCTCGCGCCAAACCTTTACGCTGCTCTAGATTAGGAGCTGAAGCGTTTTAATAACGTCCGGTCTGTTGCGTGTCGCAAGTGCGTCGTTCACCTAGCGTTTTGCTTTAATCTTGCGGACCTCCGCTATTGCGTTCTTTATCGCTTTCGCGCGCGCGCTAATAGATAGCGATAGCGGCGATGTCTTAGATAGGCGGGGGTAGGTGCTAAAGACGAGGAGAGTAGGCACAAGGCTATCTAGACCAGCAGTGTTGTTGACGGCTTTCACAGCTATCTAGAGGAGGTGTTTAGATGACGTATCGCTGTCTATATCAGCGGAGATAACTTCGAAGGCACAGCGGATAGCCGCATAGTACCGCTCTACCTTGCCGATAGACACAGTCCGCAACAATCAATTAAGTGGGTCCTAGAAGGTTCAGATTGGATTGATTGATTACCGCTTTAAGCCTAGTAGTTACCTATAGGAGTTTAAGCCCTACCTAGATAGGTAAGTGGGTCTAGGAGAGTGACCGGATTGAATTGATTGTTGCGGAGTCTACCGATAGAGTTGTGCGCCTCGATAAGCACCTCGTTAACCTCGATAGCTATTGTCTTTGCATTGTTAACAAACTCCTCGCTCGCAAAGTTCTTGCTAGCGTTGGTGGCTATAACATTAGGCGGACCAACGTATATATTAATCTACATAGCGCGGAGTGTGTCCTATATTGTGCTTACTTTTATGTTGGTAAGAAAGCGCGCCGCTTAGAAGGCAGTTGCTTCGTTAATAGCATGAAGTACTAGCCTCTGATTAATTTACATCACGTCGACGATAAGTCGATAGTTGAAGTTAATATCGTCGCGGAGGGTAAACCAAAATCGTCCTAGCGCCTTGCCAGTAATCTAACATTAGTGACAGAACTTGTTAATCTTTTTAATGGTCGCCGCATCGACTTCGTTATAACCTGCTCTCGCGAGGACCTTGTAGAGTCGTCCTGCAGCTAGATAACTAAAGCGCTAATAGAGTTGCGCAAGCTCTACCTCGGTGAGGTAGTGCGTCGCGGTCTCTTGGTCGTCGAGCAGGAGCCATAGGTGTCCCTATTTGCGCACAATAGGGTACTCCTGTGACTCGTGTACAAGCACGTTGTCAACATTGTTGAGGTAGATCCTGTGGCGGTCTATGTCTGCAAGGCACAGCAAGAAAGGCGTGTTAGTTAGTATCACCGCAAAAAGTATAACGCCGAGCGGGGTTTTAACCTTTACCTTGCTAAGTAAGAGACACTCTAGGTTATCTCTAAATCGAATTCGGTGGCGACCTGCCGTGGACTTATTAATCGTGGCCGATAGCTAGAGGCGTTGCAGTGTTATGACCTAGGTCTTTCCTACAGTAGAGACTCCGGCCGCGCTAGTGTCGGGCATAATGCCTTAGAAACAGTAAGCACTATATCGGTGATCGAAGGTGAACATATAGGGTGCCTCCTTTGCAGTCTCCGACGCGTATAGGTTGATCCTAGTGATCGCGTAGGTCGCTGCGGCGTCGTTGAGGTTAATAGTAAGCGCTTGCCCGTCGATAGTTCTATAAGCAGCGGTGTTGAATTATTTATGTTAGAAGTACGTATTAAGGTTATCAACGTAGTTACTGTCGTCGTCCTCTACCTCGTTATAAAGCTCGATGCCTTCGAATCTAGCGAGGAACACGTCGTAGTCGTTATTAAGATCGTAGTTTTAGATATAAGTCTTAAAGCGTTAGTGCGACTTATTGCGCTCCTCGTGTGAATGTCGCGTTAACTAGCATCCTTGTTTGCCGCACACATAGCACTTTTTATCGTGCGAGCAGCGGGGAGGGTATCGCGGTCGTGACAGCGTTGGTCTGCGGTTGAAGCGACCGGTGCTATAGCCTTAGGGTCTATCGCGAGGTTCGTCGTTTTAGTTGTATCGCCAGTTCGTGTAGAAGATGTTATCGTCTGTCTGTTCATTGTTATAGTTGAACTGCGTTCGAGCATGCGGATAACAGCGTTGCTAGTTACCGACGGCGTTGCGGAGCTCTAAAGCGACTGCTTTAAAGGTCGACGCAGGTCGGATCAGGACTGCGCTGCAGGCTTCGACACCCTAGCATGCTAACACAAGTTGTCTGGTGAGGCTTAACTCGCTGAGTCTATTCTGCTAAGCTATCGCTTAGTACAGCTTGTGGAGCTTGTCGATGAGCAAGTTAAGGCATTGCGCAATTGTCTTGTCAGGATTACTTGCGATAACGTCCTTTAGCATAATAGTGCGCCATTCGTTTAAGAACAACTAGTAGTTCTTAGTAGTGTGGAAGTAGGCGCCCAGTTTCGTGATGATGTCTTCGTATCCAAGGTCAAGTGGAGCGATAGATTAGTAGTAGTAAGTTAACGCTTTGCTAGTAAGCATAGTAGAGATAGCTAGCTTGTAGCGGTCAGTTTAGCTAGGTTAAATGCCGACTTTAGCGCAAAGCTCTCGAAAGATAACTAGTTTGTGACTAAGCACGTTATACTTGTCACCACTGAACTTATCGTTGTTATTGTACAGCTTCGCGAGGTTTGTGAGTGCTGTCACGTTAAGTTGAGCTGGCGACGGTGAGTACTGTGCTTGTGGGTATCCTGTTGGTGGCTGCGGAAGGTTAGGGTAACTGTAGTTGCTGTTTGTGAGCTGTTGACACTTAAAACCGTCGACGAGTCGCATAAGCTTAAGCTCGTCGTCAGGCTATATTAGACACGACGAGAGATAGAGGAGGTTGTACAGTTGCGTTATTACTGTGTCACGACTGTTAATCTAGATGTAAATCCCTTAGCACAGTCCGCAACAATCAATTAAGTGGGTCCTAGAAGGTTCAGATTGGATTGATTGATTACCGCTTTAAGCCTAGTAGTTACCTATAGGAGTTTAAGCCCTACCTAGATAGGTAAGTGGGTCTAGGAGAGTGACCGGATTGAATTGATTGTTGCGGAGTCTACTGCAAAGAGAACAAGATTATCACTATCTGCATACCTCCGCACTCATCGCACCTCCTGCAGCCTCTTGATGTGGGTTGTTTTGCCCCTTTAAAGAAAGCGTACGGGCGCTAAGCCAAAGATCTCATACGCAACTAGATTACTTACATTACGAAACTTAAGTTCCTACTATGCTTTATACGCGCCTATAATGCAGCAATTACTCCTAGTAATATATAAGGAGGGTTTTAAGGCGCTAGATTAGTCCTATTTAACCTAGAACGGGTCATAACAGCCCTTGACGTCCGGCTGCGTACTCCATCACCACTACCTATTAGTAACTCGCCCTAGCAGTCACAAACCCCTAGCAATACCCTAGAATTAGGGTCGCAATCGATGCTAGTGAAGCGGAGGATTTAGAGGCATATAGACAGCTCACTAACAAGTATTGTTAAGCACTTTAAACACCTTGCTAAAGGCGCAGCATTAATAGCGCATAAGCTGGTGTTAGCCTAAAGGGAGATTACTAAGCTTCGAGCGGCTAATGAGGCTGCTACGCGACGTAAATCGCATAAAAGAAAGCGGGTTTAGGCAGAAGGGTCTATAATAGTAGATGATGGCTAGCGTAAGACTGCTCTACAGGAGTTTAGGGCGCGTAGTGATAGGAAGAAGCTGAAGACGCGGGTGCGCGCTGAAGGAGGTGAGCTAACTCAAAGGCGATGTGGACGATGTAACTAGGCTGGTTATAACGCGCGTACGTGTAAGCAAGCAGCAGAAGTAGACTTTAAATGATATCTCGTATTGTATTATAGTATACTAGGCTAAAGTGGGCTATTTTGCGCCAGAATAGAGGTGGTTTTGGTGAGGGCTTGCAAAAGTGTCTCGCACCCGTGAGTACGTTAACCCCCCCCCCCCCCCCCCCTTCCCCCCCCCTTGTTGGAGCTGGCGATCACGTGCCTCCTTCACCTTCCTTGGAGACCAGAACACAGCCCCACCGTGATAGTCCTCGCCTGCCTCTAGAGGGAGAGCCTTGCCTCGCTTTCTACGCTGCCTCTCATTAACAAGAGCCTGCATAAGGCCTTAAGCCTCGTGTGTAAGAAGGCTTTTCTAAACTGAGATAGAGTGGAAAGCTCGGCTAAGCTTTTAAGCTCGTGGATCACTCCTATCACCTACTACCTAGCGTAGAAGGCGCTCAGTTTTCTGCCAGTCAGAGGCACTTAAGGCTAAGGAGTCGCTATCACTTAATTAGCCTAATTAAGCTGGCTGATTAAATCGTTTAAGTATTACCTCTATGTTACGAACCTAAGGAGGGGACACAGCACAAGATATGAAGGGCAGAAGGATGAAGGCCTTGTCAGAACCTCTTTCCAGGCGAAGGCGTACAAGGAGTACAAGGACCAATAACGTAAGCCTGCCCCGCATCCTACAAAGCTTGGCGGAACGCCACTATAGGACATGTCACGTGTGTCCTAAGGAATCCCACGATGTACCACGATGTCCCGCGCATGGGACAGTGTAGGACAACGTAGGACGTATAGGATATAGGACATTTATTAGTATATAACAGTAGACAATAAGCCCTTACAGTTTATTATATTTAACTTCGAAATCGAAGGATTAGTACCTAATTCTTAACCTCCCGTATATTACATTAATCTACTAATCGTGCTATACACCCTCGTGTCTCACCTCACCGAACATCAACTTTTCCAGGTCAACGAAAGGTCGATATCCATCGATTTTTCATCAAAACAAGACTCAAATGCCTTCTTAAATCTGTTTTCCAGCGTCCTCTTCCGGCTGCAGGCGCTGTGGCAGGCGCGCTGGCCTCTTTTGTCTTTCATCTCCCTGGTGAGCTGAGATGTCTACAAAATGGCCCGTGCGCTACTCAGATTTTCACGTTCGGTCGAAGGCCACAACTACCGCTAAGACAAGGAGACAGCCTTGACACTCCTTGTTCTTGCAAGATATAGGCATCTGCTAGGCCTAAATACAAAGGCTCTCCATGCGCAGAGCTACGGCACGACCCGACAGAGCACCAGCT